GGGTTGTCTTTAAAGTTATTTCTAGTGATTAGATGATCAAAACTGTAAATGTAAAATGTAAAGACATGACTTTGGCTCAAAGTCTAATCTATAAGCCTATTTGCCCTGGACACATCTGCCTTAAGTGGACATAGTGAAAAAGCACAACTTGAATGGAAACTAACTAGTTATGTGACTTGCTTTGGTAAGTGAGTTATGCTTTCTTGACCAGTTTCATCGTATGTTAGGTGAGAATAAAGATAGTATCAGTTCTTCTTGCTTCACAAGATTATTAAAAATATTATATAAAGAATGTGTATTATGAAGCATTACATAAATCATGGTTCTCTTATGATTGCTGGTCTATCTTTAGATCTAAATGTTTTTAGAAAAAAGTCTGCAACATTTTTAATCACACATAATCCAATTAATTTGAAATTAAATAGTAAAACAAAGAGGAAACATCTCACTGAAGTCTCCCTAGACCCAAAGATTTTAAGAGAAAGCAAAGCAGCTAAATGATGACCAGTCTGTGGACCCTACTGAATCTACTTCCACTGGTGGGGGTGGTAAACCAAGAGTGAGGTAAGGACTGATGAGAATGAGTCACAGTAGAAGAGAGGGGACTTGTATTTCTGACATAAAAATAATTATAGAATTTAATTGCTTAGTTAGAACTTTGGTGATTATGTAACGTACATCTGTTAGAGTGCCCTAGAATCCCCCTTAAACGTAGTGGGCATTCAGTGTCTCTGGAATGAATGAATGTGCTATATGAGTATATCAAATTCTTCAAGGTGACTCACCAAGATACATAATGTAAGTAGAACCAAGACCAAGCCCAAGACAAGAGCAGTCCAACCCAGAATTCTCTACAGGCTGCTTTCGTTGATACAGGCTATGCTAACACTGATTTTAGAAAGATGTAACCATATGAACTGGGCACCTTAGCCTATTTCTTTTCACTAAGTTGTGATGCTAATAAGATCCAGAATCTGGTAAGAACACCCCTTTTAATTACCATGAAGAGTTGACATCTACAGAGATAAATCTAGATTCAGTAGTTAGGGTAAACGAAAGGTTGCATGTGACAATAAGACTAGACTCCCCCAAAAGCTTTGATTCTCAGCAGCTGGGAAGGAGCAGTGTCTAAGCTGTAGGATCTACACATGGGAAGAGAACGGTGAGGTCAACATCTCTAGCGTTCAGTTCATGCACATTCTGTTTGACCATGCCTCATGTTCACACTATTTGGTTCTGAACTATTTTAAAAATATATAGAGATACAAATATATAAAATGGAAATTGTATATATATTTATTTTTTTAAATGATATACATAACAATATAGTAAAGTACATCATTACTAATTTTTTTTTCTCACAATTGGTGCTATTACTCATGCTCATCCAAGGAGAAAGGGTGCAACAAGCTGTTTTACTTTGAGCAGCAAACATTAATGGGAAAGACTGCCTGTGTGCTCAGCAATGAGCATCCACTATCTTATCGATTGTTCAGTGCAACCAGTGGGATTATGCTTCACTTTATGCCACTTATTTACTGCCTGACAACTCTTCTTGAACTATAAAACTGTACAAGTGACAATCCTATATCTGTCTACCACAAAGAATTAAAAAATCATATAGTTTTAGAAATTAGTAAATACTTAGAACTGATTGATAATACACCATATGAAAACTTATTGTAGTACTGGAAGTGAAACTTGCAGACTTACTTTGTATATTTGAAAAAGATATACTGACAATTAATGAGCTAAGCATGAAATGCAAGAAGTTAGAAGACTGCATAATTAACACAAAGAAACTAGAAAGAAGGAAGAAAATTTATAGTAAGAGCAGATATTAAACGTAATAGAAAACAAAGATGCAATTAGATAAAGCCTAAAGTTGTTTCAAACCTATGGAAAGCTTTATCAAGAGAAAAAAATACAAAACTAAATAAAATTAAGAATGCAAAAGGGATTTCCCTACGGATTTAGTGAAGATAAAAAACGTATTTAAGAGTTTTATGAACAATGGGATGGATTACCTAGCAAATTGAACACATGCATGTCATAAAACCAGCAATTCCACTGTGATACAAACTCCAAAAAAAACTTGCACACATATCCCACTCAAACATGTCAGAATTCAGCCTGTGAGGAGGAATAAAGAGGTCTAGATTGTTCTGTGGCAAAGGATGGTCTCTCCTTGGTGACTGCTACTTAGAATTGGAGTTGATACATCAGCAGAAGCAATTAGCCAAAGTTCTGGGACTACAGTGCCCTAGTTGTAATGGATAAGTGCTAACTTGGCTTCCCAAGAGCTTGGAAATGGCAAGAAAGAGGGCTGCTATACACTGGAAGGAAGAAACCCTCAAGAGTGCTGTTTCCTGAGTCCTCCTCTTTGGCAAGCTGAGAAGTGGCAAGATGTTGAGACAAGTCATCACTGCACTGCTGTGATTTAGGCTGAGGAACCTTGTAAGCACATTTCCTACTTGAGGATTTGTATTCCAGAGATGGAGTAGCTACAGTTACACTTCTGTATATAACAGCAGAAATGCTAAAAGCTGTTTGCAAAGGTGTCCTTTCCTCCCTGTAACTTTACTGTGTAAGAAATTACTATTTAGCTACATTTTGATGAAGCAACAAAGACAGTGTGTCATTGGTGTGCTGCCACTCTAAGAGCAGATTTTTGCAAACTGTATCTTCTCTCTTTAAGGATAAGATGAAGTTTATTTTTTCAGGGCTTTCAAACTTTTTTCTCAGTCATCATTTCATATTGTGAACGACCACTCAAAATACACCATAACTCTTACATTGCAAGAAATTCTGCAAAAGGTGGACTATTCTCTTGTATGTGAGATTGAAAATCCAAAAAGTTTTGCAAATTTCTACCAGAAACAATATCATCTCTTCTAATAGTGCACAAGCAATTTTTTTTCTCTACTCTGCAATATGGGTGTTAAGCTGCCTAATTGTAAAGTCTTTGATCTTAGCTCCTTCTTTTAGCACTTAATTGATTACTACCCTCAATGATTTTATAGATTTTCTTTGGATTTTACGCTAGGTAGGTATTTATTTATTTTCTAAACTCAAAATTACTTAAAGATTAATATAAACTGCTGTTAGGTATTTATTTACTTCCTAAACTCAAAATTACTTAGAGATATATATAAACTGCAGTTTGTCAGTTTTGTCTTTTTTAGTTAAAATGTTGCTATTGTTAACACATTTTTTCCTTTTCATTTTGTGTTCAATAAATAGTTCTATTTGGGGTATAGATGGCAAATTCAATTCCTCAGCTACACTTAGAAGAACAATGTAGCATATAATGTTCTGACAAATAGGGCCATGAAATTTAAAAATGATCTTTAAGAATACGATATTTTTCTCAAAAGTAGCTTAAGGGAAATGATTTTCATATTTCCAAATCTTAAAGCATCCCCAGCAAATAAATGGAGTTTGACACATTCTACACATGTGTAGGGTTTTTTTTTTTTAAAGATTTTCACTTATTTATTTGACAGAGAGAAACACAGCAAGAGAGGGAACACAAGCAGGGGGAGTGGGAGAGGGAGAAGCAGGCTTCCTGCGGAGCAGGGAGCCCGGTGTGGGGCTCGATCCCAGGACCGCGGGATCATGACCTGAGCCGAAGGCAGACGCTTAACGACTGAGCCACCCAGGCGCCCCCATGTGTAGATTTTTATAACTTTGTTTGTTAATCTGGAAGATCTCCTGAACAGCAGAGATTTTCAGGGAAAGGCTAAATGAAACCTTGATGAGAATATTATAGATAGAATTTAGGCATCAAATGAGTGATTCAGTTAATGATCTTGAAAGTCACTTCCCTTCCTGAGAATTTCTATCGTTAGATTTATGAGCATAGTGGAGAATTAACTTGAGGACCTGCTGGCCTACTTTGACTTATGAATTTAGAAGACTTACTCATACAAATACAGTTTTTTTTTCAGGTACCCTATTAAAATATTATTATAAAGTTAATTGAACAATAACCCTGTACAAAAACAGTATTAAATTTAATTTGCCCCCACGACCAACATATTGTGGACAATCACTTTTATGTGCGGGTAAAATGAACTATCCTGTTTTAAGCTGGTGGGCAAGAGAGCCCCCTTGAAAGACCCTGACTGTTTGGATCATTCAGTCAGCTGTGGTAAACCCTTCCTGTTAGTGATGAGAGGTAGTTTGGCAATTAACTGCAGATGCCTGGAAAGCTAGCCTCCATCCCTGCCTGATTCTGCAGGTGGGGTAAGTTTTTCATACCTTTCTCGGTCTTTGATCCGCCTTCGCGGGCAGACTGTTTTAAAATCTACCTCACGATGACTGTGTAACTTGTGCATCTTTAAAAAATAAACTGTGGTATCTGGGGGAGAAGTCAGTTCTCCCTTAAGGGAAAATTTTCATAGTTTTATGTTTCAAGTTGGACTCAACTTGAGTTGTTAACTACTGTGGCATCACTGAGTTTTGGAACAAAGCAATTGATTCAGGATAAACTATTTCAAATTTTAAAAAACAATTAATTTATTTTTCCTTTCACCCACAGGTCTACCCACGGATAGCGCCGGCATTTTGGCACTACCTGCGGGTAGAAGTGAGTAGCGGGTACTTGAATTCTCCCACCCTTGCGCCTTGCACTCTGCTGGTGTGGTCTGATCTGATGTGCCCATTTTGCTCCCGGTGCAGCTGCCATTCTGTGTGAACGTGCTCTCATGCCACCACCATTCCTTAGAGTTGGATCAGAAATCCAAATCACCAAAACTCCAAGTGCAAGTTTATATAAGATAATCATCTTTCTTAATAAATTTCCGAATCAAGACCATATCATATGCATCATAATGATAAATAACTAAATGCTAAATTTTGGAAAACCATGCTTACACCTCTCTTTAATCAATATTTTTGATATTCAGAGCATAATTCCTCAGCTTAACTTGGGACTGTTTCTAGGAAAAAGTGGAATAACTCTGCTTCATCTCCTTTCTCCTCTTCTCTATCCCCAGGAGCATGAGCAGCTCACCTACTCCTCCACAAGGTCCAAGGCACCCAGTGTCATCATCACGGGCCTCAAGCCGGCCACCAAGTACATATTTCATATCCGAGTGAGGACTGCAACAGGATACAGTGGCTACAGTCAGAAGTTTGAATTTGAAACAGGAGATGAGAGTAAGTTTTACACAAACATATAAAATAAGTTAATTTAGTACTATTCCAATCTGACCTGATAGTTGAAAATCTAATGTCCCCAATTGTGAATAGTCTCATCAAACAGGATTCTGTTCATGTAAATACTCATATAGTCATTTTGGTTAATGTTTTGGTGCTATCATTAAATACCTCCATGAAATGCCTTACTCTACCACAATTGTAATGTGGCCCAAGTATATCTCTTTATGCAGAATTCATTACTCACGCTATAACATAGAGTCTCAATGGGCAGTGTTAGCCTAATTGCTTGCTAGTCTTGGCATCATAATATGATACTAATGAAAACTTGGAAGAGAATAAAGTCATGAGCAAATGATTTTAGCAGTTAGTTCAAAATTGTGCAGCTTTGGCTTGTTATCTCAGATCAATAAAAAACAGTGGTCAGGAGAAAAACTCCACTGAAATGTACATTATAAGTTTAAATATAGACACATGGGCTTAATTAGAAACTCAAATTAGTTCCATAGCCTCAACGTGCTGAAAATCAAAATGGGAGACGAGGGGAGTGAGGTGTTCCAATGTCATGTAACATAGGCTCTGAAATGTTTTATTTAGTCTGAATCCTGCTCTACCATTGAATTTGGTTTTTTGCTTTTAGAAATCTATCTAACTGCTACTTTGTAAAGATAATATGGGTGGCTTTTGCAATGTTCCTCTATGGAAAAATGTCCAAATATCTAATTATAATAAAAACTTGTCCCCATCATTGCTAAAATACCCATATTTATATAAGAATTCAAGAATAGCAAATATATTATAAAAAATTCTTTATAAATAACAATAATAGCTACCACTTATTGAGCTTCTAATAAGTGCCAGAAATTATGTATTTTATATATATTATTCCATTTAAACCTTTCAACATCCAATAACACCAGTATGATTTTTCTAATTTTACTCATGAGTAAAGAGAATTCTGGAGAAATAGAGCTCTTTGTCTAGATATATGCAACTAGTAAGAAGCTAAGCTAAAATTTGAAACTGAGGGCTACCTTTTTCCAAGGCCTGTGCTCTGAACTACTCCACCATCATGCCAAGTTCTTTCATTTGAATTATTAAAAAGTTCTAATGGTAAGATCATGAAAACAGGCCACAATTCCTCTAGTTTGTCACTGCCTCAAAATGAAGCTGTTTGGATTTCAAATTCTGTGACGGAAGGAGTGTTGTTTTTACAGTGATGAACAGTATCAATTCATAAGAATGTCCTCATTGCAACTACATCTCACTAAAAAGTGCAAGAGTACCAACATAATTAAGAATACACAGCTTAGGAAGAGAGAGTAAACTAATGGATAAAAAGAACACTTATAATCTGGATGTGTAATATCAGTGATGATCATTTATAATCGTGCTGGAGACTATTGTCTTCTCAAGCTAGAGATGAAATTATTGGGAGTAGAGTACAATTATCAAAAAAAATAGCTTCATAATTAAGAACAATATAAAAATATTCAAAGTGCCATCCCTGCTATGTCCTGTTGGCTCTTCCTCCCCTGCTCCCATGTCAAGACTTTGCCTTAATGCAGAGCCAGGGGATGCAATTCAAGGGAAGTTTGGTCTTGGGAAGAGTCCTGTCATTGTGTCGTTCAGGCTGTGTACCACATCCCTGCATCTCAGTTCTCTCACTTTCTTTCACAGATGAAGAAATTTATCTTTTTAAAAAGTATGACATTTTTGAGTATTACATCATTAAGTCAGAAATATATTCTCAGACAAATTTATAGGGCTAAATCTAGATAAGCCATTTGTGTTTATCTGGGACTTCTAGAGAAAACAATCTAGTCTAATTAAAAAAAAAAGTTCTGATCTAAATATGAAAAATTTAATTTGGTTTAACTCTAAATTTCAACTCATTGTACTTTCAGGACTATAATTCTTTCAGATGTTATATAAAAGATACATACTCTGAAATTACTTATCAGAAAAGGTCCCATGCTCACCAATGACCCAGTATAATATTTATTCCAACAAAAATGTATAGGACACTTAATATGTGCCATACCCTGTGTGAGGCTCTGGGGATTAAAAAAGTAATAATAAGACCAACAGCCTTCACATAATTTATAGTCTAGATTTGTGGGAAGAAAACGAAAATTTAAATAAAAAATACAAGGTTAGCGAACATCGTGTACTATCATACAAATATGCAAAGTGTGCTCTGAGAGCATAGAGAAGAAATCCTAGTTTAGCATGAATGGGTCATGAAGGTGTCAGTTGGAAGGTGAGAAAATGGGGCTCATTCTTGAAAGAGGAGTAGTAAGAGAACAGCAAAGACACTGAGGCCTGAAATAGCATGAAAAATTTAAAGAAGAGCAAATAATTTGGTGTGACTGCAGTGAGGAGACAAAAAGGTGAAATGGTGGGAACTGAAGGCAGAGAGTTAGACAAGGGCCAACATGAAGGTGTTCTTTTGGCCCCGTGAAGGATATTGAGCCTTCTGATGATACTGAAGAGCTGGGAGAGGGTTTTGATTAGGGAGAAACATGACCAATAACAGGTGCAAGACCCTATACTGAGCAATTTACACAATTTGTCTTTTTAATTCTGACAAGATTATTTCTCCTTTTAAAAACATAAGTAGCTTTACCAAAATCTGGTAATTGGTGAGTGGAGGTGCAGGATTAGAACCCTAGAACCATCTGACAATGGCCACAGCAGACAGCAAAAAACATGTTCCGAATCACTGATTCATAAATGACATGAAAGTTCCTTCTATTAGATCCTTGAAGAGACAGAATGTCTCAGAAGAACCTGAAAAATGTGTTTGTCTAAACCTGGAATTTGGGTAAATAGAATGGCTCCCAAGTCAATTTACAGCCTAGAGGGAAAATCATTTAAAGGATCATTTTTTATCTGGTTAGTTTTAAATTGCATTTTCAAAGCATGCTGTTTATATCCAGAAGAGAATTTCAGCTAATGATGTCATAGTAGGATATGGTCAGGTTTGCTATAAATTCAAGTTTATAATGATATGAATTCCAATCTCCAGCATCAGTGTTTTTCTCTTCATACCCTCCTAGATCATCTTTTAATTTTTATACCTTTTGTTTCCTGAGTAGTGCCTGAACTAAGTTCTCTCTTGTGCCTTCTATTTAATTAACTTTATAATATATGCATAGAGATGGGGGTGGGTTGGGAAAGAGTGATAAGGTTCTCTCATTTGATGGTCTGGTTCAATTTTTTTAAGTCAGCAAAGTGAAATACTCTATGATTTAATTCTCTCTAGCCATATCTGTTTTACTTGCTTCAACTTTTAGTTTGCCAACGAGACAGTAATATAAATATGAAAAAACTCCTTTTCCAAAATCATAGTATTCTGAACCTACAAGTGTTCTACAAATATAGTGGCATCTGAATAACAATCACAGTCACCGCTCTTGCCCTTCCAGACCAGCAATTGGATTTTTTTACAGAGTCAGATTATGTAGTGGAAACTGGCTAAACAAATGTAGAGATCACTAATTATGATTGCTAGCACTGTGAAAAGAGCCTACTTGACCTAGACCTGTTGGTTTCTGCTCTCCCCAAGTCTACAGAATAACCTCATTACATATGTATATATGGAGAGATAAATAGATAACAAATAGATAGATGGGTAGATAAAGGTAATTAATTGATTGATAGATATATACATGAACAGGTAGATAATCACTCCTATATAGTCACAAAAGACTTTTTGTTTTAATGCTGGTATTTCACATGTCTGCTAATCTCTCTTTGACAAAGAATGTACAACTAAATATTATGTCCACTAACAGCATTTATTGAGTACCTATTATGTACTGGTCTTTTTATCAGGTACTGTAATTGATTCTCCCACCTTTTTAGAATAGATATAACAAAATTACAATAAACTACAGAATCAGTAGTAAGAAGGTAAGAATATATAAACATTCCATGTGGGTCTTCTTGAGACAGGTGAAAGATCAGTGTCAGAAGCTAATATGAGAATTTTCTCAGTATTAAAATGAAATTCATATTAGGTGCAAAACTATCAAACACACACACACACACACATTAAGTACAGACCTTTTTGGCTTATATGAATGAAACAATAGGAAATTTTAACCACCTTATATTTATTATAATTTTGCCCTTATTTTCTGGAGAAAATGTGCTTCTTTTCAATGGAGAAAAAAATAACAATTAAAATTAAAAAGTTATCTACATAGCCAGTACTATCCATATCCTTGCAAACTTCTCAAAAAAGATGTTTGATTTAATTTTTAGCAATAATAACATTACACCTACATTTTTTTAGAAAAAGAAATAAAAATAATTTAAAGATAAGGAAGTTAAACATTTGGTTATTTAAAACACCAAGACTTTTTTAAAAAAATTTATTTATTTGAGAGAGATAGAGAGAGAACTGGGAGGGTGGGGAGAGGGAGGGAGAATCCCAAGTAGACTCCCCACTGAGCACAGAGCCAGACACAGGACTCAAAGTCAGGACCCTGAGATCATGACCTGAGCTAAAATCAGGAGTCAGATGTTTAACCGACTGAGCCACCCAAGTCCCCTAACACACCAAGACTTATCTAATATTCAAATGTATTTTAGAGTAGCAGAAAGTAATTTCATGTGTACATCTTTTAAAACCCAAATAAAATATATCCATCTATATTGCAGCCAACTTGAACATTTTACTTAAACACTGGAAGTGAACTTATGAAGCTATCAAAAGGGTGCAGAATCCATAGCTTAAAGCCAATTTTTGAAAGAAACCTGGAAATTTACATGTAGTAATTAGCAGTTTACCTCTCCCATTGCTTTAATTGTTATCCAAAAGACCCAGGAGAAGTATACATTGCCAACATGGAAGCAGTACATTCTTTTCCCCTGGAAGGATTAATTATACATTAAATTTTAGCAACATACAAACTTATGTATTTACCTATAAGCTACATAAAGCACTTTTGTAACACAAAAGCCACATCTGTCAACATTTTAAAATGTAT